AAAGAAACTGCCCCACACTAGGGCTGTGGCTGTGGTGCGGCCACAGTCAGCCCTGGATCTAGGCCAGATCAAGGGCTCATTGTGAGCCCGCGTTTTTGCCTGGGGGCTGGAGTGACGTCCAACTCTCTTCAGCCAATATAAAAAAGGCAGCTGCCCCCCAGCTGCCATACAAAGCACTCGTGCTGCCAGTGTGTGACGGGCACACATGAGTGTTGTGGCTGCTGGAGCTGCTGCTGAGGCCACGTGAGGAGGAGCTGGAGGACTGTTGAGGCAACGTGAGGAGGAGTTGGAGGACTGCAGAGGAGCACCGTGAGGAGGACTGGGCATAGCCAAGGCAGAGAGCACTCTGATTCCCTCCCCTTTGGCTGGTGTTGGTCCCACGGGACAGGCCCAGTGGCACTGCGGTACTATGGCAGGCGGCACAGGCTTTTACTGCGGTAGTACGAGAGTGCTGTCGAAATTTTGCTGCGGCGGCAGAGACTTTTACTGCGGTAGTACGAGAGTGCTGCCGAAATTTTACTGCGGCGACACAGACTTTTTCTGCGGTAGTACGAAAGTGCTGCCAAAATTTTGCTGCGCGGCACAGACTTTTACTGCGGTAGTACGAGAGTGATGCCGAAATTTTGCTGCGGTGGCACGATTTTTTTTCAGCGGTGGTGTGGAAGCGCTACCGTTTTTTTTGAGGCGGCAGGCCTGGTTTTTCAGCGGTGGTAGGGAAGCGCTGCCCGTATTTTTTGTGGCAGCAGGCCTGGTTTCTCAGCGGTGGTGCGGAAGCGCTGCCGTTTTTTTTTTTGCGGCAGCATGCTTGTTTTTTCAGTGGTGGTGCGGAAGCGCCACCGGGTTTTCTACGACGGCGGTTCCGGGTTTTTCGGCAGTGGTGCGGTAGCGCTGTCAAAATCGTTCGACGGTGACTCCGATTTAACTAGCCGTGGTGCGGGATCGCTGCGATAATTTTACGGCGGCGACGCAGGGTGTCGCGACAAGCGATCGTTCTAAGGAGTGGTGTGGATTGTTTTGTGGGCGACTCATTGTGACGATCGTCTTCTCTGGAGTGTGATTTACACGGTCTTCATGAGTGAGCCGTTTCTTCAATTTCACTTAAGGTCAGTCAGTTAAATTGACTCAGTTCCCTTCACACCTGAGTGAACCCACACTTGCTTTGACCTGTTTTTCACTGAATGTTCATTGAAAAAGGGAAGAGGATGTGTGTTCTTGCGTGTATGACTGAGAGTCTAACAATGATAAAGAAATGCATGGTGGTCTGTGTGTCGTTGAGTTTTGACTGCAGGTACGACAATTGGACTGAAATGGATGAGGGTTATGGCAGTGAAAGAATGATTGACTTTTCATCTTTGTGCTTGTGTTCTATGTATAAATAAAAGGAAGAGATGACGACGAGAAACGAAGCGAGCATAAGGAAGAGAAGTTCAACTTGGTTTAGACTTATTCCTGAGGTTACCCATTCTTTCCTAAATAACCCTCTTCCATCTATGCCTGTCAGTCTAAATGATTCTATCTTTCTACGATTCCTTTTTCTTCGTCTAAGTTTACTTTGACGCTAGGCGGCAAGACTTTATTTGTCTGCCGTGTAGGTGTTTTCCCTTTTTTCTAGGAGGCATCTGGGGCGGGGGTTCGTTGCCTTACGGGCCGGCCCTGTTATCGACTCAGAGTGGACCGCTTTGCGGGGGGGTACTATGCCGATTCCGTGGAGACGGCCCGACTTATGAGATCCGAGTTTTGTACTCGGGCGAGGAGAAGGAGTATCCCAGACCACCTCTTAGGGTAATGGAAAAGGTATCTAGACGGAAGAAAATTATTTCTTGACGCCTTGCAAAAAAGGAAAATTGCCTTAGCAATCTTGTTTTAAGTGGTCATCTTAGGTACCACTACCGTATGGAGAGTTGGCGCCACAAACCACCCGACTCATGTCCTATTAGCTGAATGGAGTACGGTTAGATACTCCTGACGTGGTTGGTCGTGTCATAAGAAACACGGGCCGTAAGGAAGACAAAAACTGAATAATACTCAAGGGCAAAAGTTTAACTCAAAACACATTTGTCTTCTTTTTCTTTCAGATGGCTATGAGAACCACAAAACTATTCCTTTTCAACAATCGTGATGCGGCAGCGGAGAGAGTTGAACTCCAAAGGCGTGATGGAGTGAGGGTAGAAAGGGTAAGCCGACTTATTTATAATCCGTCATAATTATATTCCGAGGAGGACGTTCCGCGATTTTGGGGTGGTAGTGCGCAAAGACCCCCCAGGCGACTTGTTTTCGGGAGTGATAACGGCTTGGATATTCTTCATTACGAGTTCGCACCTCCATTGCCCGAGCGTCACTTCGTCAATATGAACCTGGTGGTGTTGCAGCCCTATGAGATCAACAGACGAGTGGACAAAATCCCTGAAATAAGGCTGATGTTCGTCCGTTACGTGCTTTGGCTGAACGAGCGACAAGGCCCATTTTTTGGCATATACTACTCGGAGCGGATACGTGCCAATAGGTATGCAATTATAGGGGCTGAAGCATTATATGATGATGAAGTGAAAAATGAAGCGGGAGAACTCGAGGAGTTTTTACGTGACTGATTTCGATTCGTTCCGATACGCAGATGCCTGGAGCACGACGAGACTTGACGATCCCGAGGTATCTGCTGGTCTGTGCTACACCTGAGGAGGATCTCATCAGGAGTGCAGCGCGACTTTTACGAGTACGAGATGAATCTCCTATCGACGGGTTCGGCTTCGTTGGACTGCTTCGAAGTGGCGAGGGATTTTTCCCTAATACTCACGCGGATTTTAGAGCCAACATGGCTCGAACTTCCGACGAGCTTTACGGTTATACTTTGTATTTCCACCGCACGAGTAACCTCCAATGTCTCTTTCGAGTCATTGTGAGTATCAAGATTACCTCGTCCGGTAGGCGTTTCGGCGTCGTCCGGATTCGGGACACAGAGACTCGACACCTGTTTGGACTTAGTCGACTTCCCTGAGTTATAGTTTGGAGACTAGCCTCTCGGATGACCTCCTTCTATAATACTCGGATTGTTAGAGTCATGCGATGTAGACGAAGGTCTACTTTGATTTTCGTCGACGACGAGCTGGCACGTTTGGATTTATTGGAGACACAGGTGCGCAGCGAGCGAGAGATTTACCAGGATTAGACATCGTCTTGTGAAATCTTACTCAGATTTCAGAAAACACTTCGCATGGACTCAGTCTCGTTGAGGAAACCATATAACTTATGGTTTCACGAGGTAATCTAAAAACAAAAACAAAACACCGTATGTAGTTAGGACCGCTAGATGGATAGTATTCAGATTACCCCGATGATTTCACTATCATGCTTATGCATTAAGGGGTAATCGTTCGCATAAAAATAAGCTGGATAAAGAGAAAAACGAACGTCTGAAAAAGTTATCAAGCGAAGCAACGAAAGATGAAACATTTCTGCGTTGCGTAACTTGGTGTTGGAGATGGATACTCCATCATTCGTGGAACAGAAAGAATAATTATTGTCCAGGAGGACAAAGCGACCAACAAAGTTGTCACTCGCTCCTCCAAGTAGTTGTATATGGTACGGAAACGTGGTCGAACCTGGAGTTCAAACATCGACCTGGAACTAGATCACTTGTTGATCTGCATGGTACCAGTGATATTTATTTACAAAAGTTATTCATCACAAGTTTCAATAGTCATGATAAGAAGATCATTTTTAGTTTATTTTTTTAAATTAATAATCTTTGGAACGACAATATAAAAAGTTATGTCAGTCATACAGGTTGAAAAATGACACTTTGGCAGACCAGCTCATCAAGTCAACGATTTTGATTGTGTGATTTTGTTTTAAATATGGAAATTTTGTTGTTTGATTGCTAGGGACTAAGGATCGTTTTCACGTTTGGTTGAGACTGTCCTAGTTGACCAGCGTACGTTTCATACTTGGGAGATCAGCGCCCCAGGGAACGGACGACGCTCGGGTTCATTCGGAGTTTAGTCAAACGATTCCTATACTGCAGCGAGACGAGCAAACGCCCTCGGTTGATGTACCTTTGCGATTGCATTTAAAAGCCTTCGCACGTGGATCAGTTGCTCGGTAGGGATACGCCCCTAAGGGTGGTGACAACCCTTTAGGGATGCAAGCTTATGCCCCGCGGGAACCTATCCTGTCGTAGGGGACCGTGGGATGTATAGCTGGCGCACCCGGCTAGAGCGGCGAAGGAGCGAAGCAACCACGTCCGTCTCGGCGGTTCACGGAACAGTATGCGTCGTTCCCGAGTTGTTCTAAAAGTTATGTTTTTTGGTACACTCCTGCGTGACATGGCCGGGAGGACCCTCGTTTTCACGCGAGGGCCGATGCGCTCGACAGGTGGCGCCATTGCCGGGGATAACGACAAACTACCGTTGTCCCTAGGGGAATGACACTTGGGTGATTAGTGGAGTAAAAAGTTATTTTTTTTTTCTTGTTTGACCTAAAAAAAAAAAAAAAAAAGTCAGTAATTTGATCCCAAAATTATGAGATGTTACTTATGCAGAAGGATTGACTGAGTTCTGTTAATATGTTGTTGTTTTTCTTCACTCAAGATGGCTGGTAACAACGACGATCAGGATGGGAGAAACAATGACATTCGGGAGCTTGTAAGAATTATTCAGCAATCCCAGAAGGATTAAATCCTAAAGGTTGACGTTCCATTATTTGATGGAAACAACGCCTCGGGATGGGCAGAAAAGTTTGAACAATTGGGAAGTTGCCGGTCGAATAGAAAGATGCTGCGAATGGTGAAGAGATACTGCAAGATCCAGTATAAGGAAGAGGTGGAGGAGTTAGTACAAGATTCGTTGGACTGGGCTGAATTCAAAAGGAAGCTGCTAGAAAAGTACCAGTTGACCGATCAAATGTTGGACTTGACCGATTTGAGGAAGGTTAGTCGGAAAAGCTTTGGTACAACAAAGTAGTTCCTTACTGAATTCGAGCGGGTGACAAGGTTAGTTCATGACCTTCCAGACAAGGATCGTTGCCTCATTTTCCTGGATAATTTCACGGAAGTGGAGCAGCTAAAATTGCTGAAGGGAATGAAAGAGCGGTATGATTGGTCAAAAATTCGAGAGAATTTATTGGCCGGGAACTTTGATAAGATCCTCTACCGATTGCTGAAACAGCAGAAGGAGAATCGAGAGAGGATACAGTTGGGAACAGATAAGGATAGGGAAGTCCATAAGACCTTATCTGACATGAAGGAAATGATGACCAGCATGAAAGAAGAGCGGTTGAAGCTTCAAGTGATGATGGCTAAGGCGAAAACTGGGAAGAGAAAAGGGAAGGAGCCTGTCACTAAAGAGAGTACTAGTGAGAGTGAGAGCGAGGAGGAAAGGGAACCCCCTCGTAAGTTGACCAAGGCTGAGAGGAAAGCCTTGAACCAGATACAAGGAGGGCAAGGTACTTCTTGTAAACAAGGAGAAAGCAACAAGAACGGAGGAAATGGAAGTGGGGAGCGACAGGTTGACCAAGGACAACAAAATCAAGGTCAACAGACTCAACCACAGGGTGGTCGATGCCGTGGTAGAGGCCGCGGAAACGGAAGTGGACGTGGAAACTGGCAGGAATACGTCTGCAAATATTGTGATATGAAGGGACATGTTATTTGTTTCTGCCAGATTCTTGCTAAGGATGAGAAGGACCATGTCGTCTTCACGACGATTCGAGGAGAAGTCTTTGACTTCGAGGGAAACCTCATGGATCAGGATATTGAAGGAGGAATGAGAAAGGAGGCTTTTCGACGGATGAGCCGTCCTCTTCCGGCCACGTTTCGCCTAACTTCTCCTGAAGAAGCAAGTCTTTTTGAGTTGGAAGAAACAATGGCTTCTCTGAAGATTGGTGGGTGTGACGAAAATGAGTTGGAGGAAAAGAAAGAACACATTGCTCATCGGGCGCGAGAGGTAACCAGGAAACTGGGCAAATGTCGAAATTTCATTGTTCAATTATGTGTTGACATGGAAGAAGTTTGGCCGAACCTTCCGAATGTGTTCCTCTTTGGTGGATGGGAAAACGAAGGACAGGATGGGTCAGCACCTTTGGCCGCTTCGGCGCCGGAAGCGCCAATGACACGGCCAATGACGATGTCCAGACCTGTACTCAAGCGAGGGATGCCAACCGTCATGGTGCAGACAAGGAAAGGAAGGAAGACCTCACAATCGCAGCCTGTGCCAGGAGAAAGTTCAAAGGGACCTCAGGAGAAAGAACCTATTCAGGTAGAAGAAGGGGAGGATGATGAGGAGGATGAAAGATTGTGAGCAGAGGATGAACTGCTAGCAAAACAGAGAGCTATAGAAAAGGCGTCGGAAGTAGGAAAGACCCAGGTCGAGGAAGAAGAACCTCGCAAAAAGAAGAACGTGTACTCAATCCCAGTTGAACAAGAGATTGATTTTGAACAGCTGGTGGATCGTATTCTGGAAAGTCAGCGTGATCTGGTTACCCTGAAGGAGATTCTTGCAGTATCGCCGAAGTTCCGCAAGGAATTTAAGCAGCGCATGACTCGAAAGAAAGTCATGACAGTGAAGCTGAGTGAGATCATCCCTCCAGAAGTTAACTGGGCACCTCCTGGCACGAAGATGGACTGACGATGCTTGGCCACGGGTCTCATAAAAGTTCAAATTGGCCGTGGAGAGTTCTCTGCTCTCGTAGATGATGGGGCTGAAATGAACATCATGAGAGAGAGGCATGCGATTGAAGCTGAGATTCAGATCAATCGCAATGACTTTGGATTTTTGATTGGAGTCAGTGGGACAACGCTATTTTGCGGTACGGCTAGTGGCGTAATGGTCACAGTTGGGAAGGTAAAGGCGATATCATATTTTTACATATTGCCAAAAGTTGAACACGAAGTGCTTTTGGGAAAGTCCATTCAATGTCGCACAGAGAGCATAATCTTCAACAAGCATGAAGACACCATGTTTGTAGCTTTATGCGATCCGGTTTGCGGCTATTATGAAGTGGTAAAGTGCGCAAATACCAGACCAGCAAATTCAAGGAACTGGTTGAATCCCGAATCATATACCTTCTTAGAGTCTGAGAAGTTGAGGAGGGAGAAAGAGATGATCGATGAAGAAAGGGATCCTCAGGAGTTTTCGTTGACATTGCCAATTATCTCACAGACAGTCGATTTTGCAGCAAGTCATCCTACAATTGATCCGAGCCTGTTACAGGCCCTGATGGAGGCTGTGGTTGACAAGGAAGGTGCAGAAACCATGCATCTTGTTTATCGGCCAAATGAATCTTGCATGGAGGAATCACTGCCATCAGCCAGACAATAGTCTTTTTTAGGGGACGGAAGCTCAACGTTGGGTCCAAGAGGAAGTATAAGAAAGTAGGAGAGAAGGCGCGACTAGTGCCAGTTCTGATCACTCAGGAAAAGGAAGTGTATTACAAGGAAGAACGCGAGTGGATCAGAACGTTGAAGGAGAAAGGTGAGAAGGGGCCGTGTTCATTGACGGATGACAGGGTCAAGGAGATGATCATTGGAGAGGATGGTCTCCTTACTAAGGAGGAAATCAAATTTTTTATCGACGTTATGAAGAAAATTCATCTTGCTTATGCTTTTGATGATGATGAGCGTGGAAGTCTGGATGTCGATATGATTCCAATGATCCGGATTCATATGGTACCGCATGAGCCATGGAATATGAGAGACCCACGATATCCGAATCCAGACGATCACCGGAAGGTGGTGGATTATCTTGATGGTAAGATTCAGACCAAAGTGGCAGACTATTCGTATGGACCGTATGCGTCTCCTTGGTTCTGCTTTATCAAGCCGAACGGTGTTTTGCGATGGGTTCAGGACCTGCAAAAATCAAATTTTGTAACAGTCCGAGATGCGGGTGGACTTCTGAACGCCGATCAACTCTCAGAATCTTATGCAGGCCGGCCCATCATCACCTTAATTGATTTATATTCATGGTATGATCAGTTTCCGCTGTACACAGCGGATTGACCTATGACGGCAATGCATACGCCTCGGGGACTGCTTTATATGTGCGCGGCTCCACAGGGATGGACAAATGCCGTGACAATTGTGCAGAGATATATGATGAGAGTCATGCAGCCGCTTTGTCCGGACGTGACTTCTCCATATATTGATGATTTGGCTATCCCAGGACCCTGAGTCAAGGACGAGACTGAAGTGTTACCCGACGTTCGAAAGTTCGTGTGAGAACATATCAGCAATGTGGAAAAGGTTCTGAGGAAACTGAAGGAGTATAACCTCACAACTAGTGGGGTTAAATCAAGGCATGGTATGAGGAAGGCGGTAATACTGGGTTTCCTTTGTGATGAGAAGGGTTGTCGGCCAGATGCCCAGAAGACAAATAAGATTTTGGAGTGACCGACTCCTTTCAGATCTATTACCGACATTCGAAGTTTTCTCGGGACTTGCGGATTTTGGCGTATTTTTATCCACAGATTCGCAGCAAGGGTGGAACACTTGCGGAAGTTAGTACGCAAGAACCAGGTCTGGGAGTAGGGACCGAAGCACCAGGCAGCCGTTGAGGATATTAAAGCTAAGTTTCGAGAAGGCGGTCTGATTCTGGGAGTTCCTTTCTTTGATGATGCTGAAGGCCGTCCTTTCATCATTGAGACCGATGCAGGTCCTACCGCTTTGGGAGGAGTTTTGGTCCAAAAGGATGGGGAAGGACGGGAACGGCCTTTGAGATTCGAAAGCAGAACTCTGAATATTACTGAGCGGAACTACTCCCAGTTCAAGAAGGAAACTCTCGCTGTGCTTCACTGTCTGCATATTTTCATGAATTATGTATTTGGCAGGCGGTTCATTCTACGAGTTGATCCTACGGCTCTGTCTCAATCGTTGAAGAACTATTCTCCTTCAGATCCGACCATTGCTCGATCGCTGACGTATATTTGGATGTTCAATTTTGAGATTGAGCGCATTTCAGGTACCCAGAATCGAGCAGATGGGTTGAGTCGTGTTGATTGGGACTCATCGACGAATCAGGCTGAGGATTCATTCCTGTGGATGGATTCCTGGAAGGAGAAGAGTCACAGTTGAGTATTAACTCATACAATTATTTGGCGGATGCAACAACCCGGAATGGAAAAACCATCTGGAATGCTCCTTGTTTCCATCATGTGCGATCAGAGCTTGTGATTGGGGAGCCGTTCATTGAGGAAGACCCATGGGGTGAAAGAACATCAGAGCAAATGATGAATTTGGCTTTGTCTGATGAAGTCGAGCTCATCAAAGAGCCACTGACGATTAAGTATGGGCATGAGCAGGCTGATAAGACCTTCAAGATCACTGGAGAGATGTCATTCCTTGTAAATTCTCTAATTCACGAGGACCGCCTGAAAATGATGAATGAAGAAGCAGAAGGCAGTGATTTCAGAAAAGCTTTCAGAGAAGGAGAGTATGATGAGGAGCATAAATTAATGGGAATGTGGTTGAATGGTGAGTTGAGGGAGGATGAGGTGGATCCAGTTGTTCGTCAGAAAAGTAAGGATTTTGTTGTAAGATATAGTCATCTTTTCAAGAAATCCGACGGTGATATTCCAAGAAGAGTGGTATGTGAGGTTACGCGACAACTTGATGTGATTGCAACTTTGCATGATGGGGTCGCAGGCGAACATAGATCGGCACGAGTCACTTTGAAAAAGATTCAACATCTTTATTTTTGAGAAGGAATGAACAGGATGGTAAATGACTTCTGTAACTCTTGTCTTCCTTGCCAAAGGCGATCTAATCTGCGTTTTTTTGAACCTCTTAATCCACGCTATGTCGTTGAGCAAGGAGCAGTAGTACACCTTGATCTGTTGGTCATGCCACCTGGGATAAATAGGTACAGATATATCTTCAACGCAAGAGATAATCTGACTGGGTTCGTTGATGGTTGTGCCATTCGCGAGCGTACTGGGCATGTTTTAGCAGAATGCATTGAGGAATATTATCTTCAGTACCCATTTGTCCGGGAAATTGTCATGGATCGAGGTGGTGAGTTTCGGGCTGGGGAAGTGCAGGCGTTTCTGAAGAAACTTGGAGTAAGCTTTAGCTATACTACAAGGGCACATCCCCAGGCCAATGCGCCAGTTGAACGTGGACATGCCACTCTAACAAATTTGTTGGCTAAATGGTGCGGAGACGATCCTTCAAGATGACCGATATATCTGAGAACGACATTCTTTGTTGAGAATGTCACCATAAAGCGGACAACTGGATACGCTCCAGTCACATTGTGGTTTGGGCGTCATGCAACTTTTTCGATTGAAAGTTTTCTTACCACTTGGAGAAAGCAGGATGTGGAAACGAAGCTTTCAACGGAGGAGTTGTTGGAATTGAGGGCAAAACAAGTGATGATCACTGAGGAAAGGATTGAGGAGGCCGCTGCCTCTACTGCAGAGAGTAGACAGGCCGACAAGGAAAGGTGGGATAAGGGGCCTCGCGTTCGTAAGGAACCATTGGAAGTAGGGGATATCGTACTTCTTTATGATTCGTCCTTGGAAAAACAATGGTCTCGGAAATTGGACAGCCGATGGTTGGGGCCCTATCGTATTATCAGGAAATCTGAGCATGGGGCTTATGAGATCGAAGAGATGGATGGGGCTCGAGGTAGAAATTGGGTGTCGGGAATGCATTTGAGAAAATTTATTCCAAGGTCTTAAAAAAAGGGTTTTTTTTTTTTTTGTAAACTTCTTTTTCAGAACTTGCTTTTCCTCTTTTTTTTCTTTTGGGATCACTAAATGCTGACTAGTTCTGAGGACAGACAAGGGAATTATAACTTTGGACTCTTGGGATTTGATTTTAATTCTGGGACCTATGGTTCCATGTTTTTGTATAAATAATAAATTCTACGACTCCTGTTCGTGAAATTATGTTGTGATTTTGGATCGAAAATTTGTTGATTCCTAAATTTGAATGATTTCTTGTTACTTTTTTCGATGAAATGTGATGCAATGCAAATTTATGAATATTTTTGGACTGGAATATTATGGAACTCTCCGTGAAAATGTATGTTGTTATTTGATGTATATTCTCGTTGTAAAAAAAAAAAAGTTCTAGGAAAATGATATGTAATTTGCATTATATGGCTTGCGGCATAACTATGAGTTATTCACAAAACATGTAATGCAATTATTTATCATAACCTAGAACTTTCGTAATGTTTTTATTTATCATGTTATGATGAGTCCTGATGCAGTTAGCTCTGTAGGTGGTAGTGAGGCCTACGCCGGAACTCAGTTCCTGGTCCATAGTGGGATGCTGTCATTTTTTCTTTTTTTAAGGAAGGTGGCTACACTATCATTGAAAGGGGGGATGGTATTATTGTGATTGTCGGAAT